TATATATATATAAAATATACATTTTAATAATAAATATAGAACGCATGATAAACTTACCTTTTTTATTTTGGAAAACCACGCTGTAGACGTTTGCGTCCACTCTTGTCAGTTGTCTGCAATCTCCTCCGCCTGATTTGCGACGATTACGGAAATAATTTTGTAATCTCGTCAGATGTTCTTCTTTAAGACTCTCGCACTCAAAGAAAACCGGGTGCTGGTAAAGATCTGCCATCATCCCGCTGTAACCGAACCAAACATAAGCAGCGATTTGTAAGAGCTCAGCACTCTCTGATCGGAGTAAAGGAGTGATGATCCTGCAAGGCTTCCTCCGACAATCACGTTTGTGCGTCACATGACCAAACAACAGCGCACGCCCAATGATGAATTTACAACAGTGATAACTCCTTTTTAGTAACTCAGTCTACAAGACGTTAAAAAGCTCACAGTAAACATCTTAAAACAAGTTTTTTACTCTTCCAAGTCTTGTTTTTTTTAATAAATGCCTCCGCCTCTGTAATCAGTGATTTTGCTTATTAACACTTTGGAATACTGGTTGTTCACAAGAGCAATATTAGACTAACAGCAGGCTACTAAAAAGACACGCACAGAAGTAAACGTGCGATGTCTAAATAGATTACACTCCAGATGTCAACATGTTTGAAAAACAATAATGGTCTCGCTTTATAAAAACTTTTCATCATATTTTCAATACACCCAGCTGTTTAAGTTATGACTGAAGATTTCACAAATGAAACTTAGTCAAAACTCACTAAACACCACTACAATCTGGCCATAAAGCTTGTTAACAGCTCTCTAAAACCCTTTTAAGGTGTGGTACAAGGACAAACTGTGGTGCAGTGGTGAATACATTTGACTTGGAGTTCAATTCAAATCTAGCCTTGGGACATATGTCTTTGTACTCATGTACTAGGCGTACTCCTACTGCCTTTGTCAGTAGGAGATTATACATTGCTGAAAAGCGACGTGTGATTTTTTTTTATGACTAATATCTTTGCTTATTTTGACAGACTAGTCAAGAGGATTAACAACAGGCGTTGCATAAAATAAGTGACCTGCTTTGAAAGTATCTTGCAATGACTGTGTTTGTACCTACATGGTAACCAATACAGTTCTTTTTGGCCTTTTAAAATATCTTTCTAACTGCTTTTTACACTTACTGACAGCCTCGAGACCAGATCTCTTTTGAAGAAGACATTTTTAATATAACATGACACTTTACTTGGGAGTATATGAAGTCACTTTGTCAAAACTGCAGCTTCTAACTCGTGATAGGAACATACTTTGGCTCAAAAAGACTGGATATCATTAATGAAAGACACATTTGACAGATCATGGACAAACAAGTCATTCACAACAGTTTAAATACTGGCAATCATTTTTATTTATTGATTTTTAGCACAACCTCAGATAAATAGGAAAGGAATCCTAAGAAAGCAGTCTAAAAACAGTTCCAAATAAAAATACAGAATCATTAATTTGGCAAACCTTTGAGAAATGAGGGCAGTACCTTTGGAAAAGTGTCACAAAAGCCACAATAACCTTTATCCTACATCTTCTAGACATTGGTCATAGTGCAATACAGCATCTCTGTAGCTTTAGCTGACTGCAAAACTGACTTCATCTGAACCCATTCATCATTAGTACAATAAGCCCTATGTGCAGTATGTTGTCAACTTTATTCCCCCCCCAGATATTAAAGAAGTAAAATGGAAAGAAAACAAAGTACATGCAAGTGAAAAAGTCAATTTAAACTCAATAAAACAAGCAAACAAACAAACACCTGTTAAGCATAAATTAATTAGAGCGACAAAATCTTACAATTTCAATGTCCTATGTCACAGTGGAGCACCTGTCACGCCTTTCAACAGCCAAACAGTGCAAGTCATTCAGCATATAACAAATAAGTGTTAATCAAGTTCAATGAGCTCACTTAACAGCAGCACTCACAGGTTTCTACACTGCTTATATTAGGTCTTGAAAGACATTAATCAACATGGTAGAGGTGAAAAAGTTGGCATCACAACTTCTTCACTTCTGCATAACAGCCAGAGCTTCCTTCCTTCAGCCCAAGGCCAGGATAGAGAGGCTGAGTGAATACTGTGCGCACTTTGTGAAGCAGAGTCATGGAGTCAGAAATACTGTAAAACGACAGAGTACCTGACCTGTAATCCAGGTACACGCCAATCTGAGAGGTACAAGGACCTGACACTGCCTTGGCTACTAAGTTATGTCTGAAAGTATATCCGTTTGCAGAGCACTCCAAACTCCAGGACTTGTCATTCTTCCCAAATTCTGAGTCGAATGATGTTCGGCTGATGTTTTTGTAAGACGCTGCCACTGACCAGACGCCACCACTCCAACTGACCTCCCAATAGCACCGCCCTGTTAAACCCTCTCTGCACAGCACCTGCTTCACACCTCCAAACCTGTC